GACGTAACGTAGGCTAGGCTCATGGGTTGAGAAATGAATAGATCATTAGGCTCAAAATGTGTATAATTGGGGTGAATAAGTTGGTGATCATCTTGGCATTGTCACCGGTCTTCTTGTTCATTCTTGGGAGTTGTCTTTTCAGCGAATGCTTCATTGGGCTTGAATTCACCACTTCTTTAAATTTGTAGGACTATGACTATCCCACTGGGGATGATTTTGATACACTTATCTTTCATCCTTGGGCATTGGCCTTGCTTTTACCAGGTACACTGCTCTTTCTTGCCCACTGAACTCTTTTTTTTTTACTTGACATACGCTGTTTACAATGTATATGTTGGCCAACCATACTCTGACTGAATGATTCAACATTAGACTTCCAGGGGTAATTGCCTTTGATTGACATTCTGAATATGCTGCTCGGCGGTGACAACTTTTATCTTGCCCCAATGTGGGGGATGATCACCAACTGGGTTTAAGAAACGAATTTGCAGGCTCAATTGGGCTTAGCAAAGGATAAAGTGTGTATAGGATAGAGAAAGAAATGCTCTTCGTCATCCTAAGGCACTTGAATTTCGTGTGAATTCATCTGAAAAAAGCAACACTCGAAGATTGATGCAAATGAGAGCAAGAAAATTTCTACTCATTTTTCACCTTATAATGCTGACTTACCTCCAATTTGCCCCGATGTGGGGTGGTTCTTAATAGGGGTAATTTGAAAGAATTTCTCCAAGTGTTTAGGCTCAAAGTGGCGAAACAATGGATAACCTGTAGTGTTTGGGATAGAGAAATGAACCGCCTCTCGTCATTTCGGTTGCCGTACCTTTTGCGAGATAACCCTTTACCTTACAGACATGAAATTTTTCCGCTCAACTCACTGGGGATTAGTGCATGGGACCGTGTATAGGATAGGACTTGCCTTTCATCATCCCGATGTACCTCATTCAACACATTCAAGTCATTCCACATGAGTTATCAGATTGTCTAAATAGACTTCTCCTTTGAAGTCAATGATACTGATCGACAAAATAACCATGCAGAAATTAAAGCCAATGCAAACATCTTAACTTGAAATTGGTTGAAACCATTTATTCATCAGTGAAATGTTTGCAATTCAAAGGTATAAAGCCAAACACTGGAAACTTTTGCTGCAGAATGTCAGGTTTTATCAAGGATAATACATCTTTACAGCATCAGAATTAACAGGATTGGAGAACTCACGACCATCCATTTCTGCGAGAATCAGGGCACCTCCGGGAAGTACCTTATTAACCACATATGGACCATTGTAGCTTGGGGAGAATTTGCCCCCAGGAATAGGAAAGACTGGCAGTACTTTCCTTAGGACTAGGTCAATTACCTGGAAGTGTCTTTGACGTACCTTTCAGTCGAAGGATCCAACTATTCTCATGCGGCAACTGGATCAAGCGTTTCGTCTCACTTTCAGGGAGATTTGCTCTTATCTTTACTTCCTTGGGTTCCTCCGTATCACTCAGGTTAACAGTGATGGTTTAGTCTGAAGTAACAACTTTGGACCTTTCATGTCGTTCTAGGCCACGCAGCATTTCTGAGGGACCCTCAAGATCATCGAGATCATCAAGATGTCATCGACTGAATATAATGCACCAGATTGGACCGTTCCCATACCTTCACGCGTCATAAGATTGCCCCTGAAACATAAAGTAGGGGATTCAGAAGGACAAACAGGGGTAAACCTTGCATTTTTTTCTAAATTTTTTCTCTTTTTTATTTTTTTTGTGACCTTTTTTTTTTGAAATTTTTTTTCAAAAAAGTTTTAACACGAGGAAGCATGAAGAAGCCCAGGCCTCAGAATTCTCCTTGGACTATATTTTTCTTTTATCGGTTGGATATCATCACCGGCCAGGTTTGATGTACCTCAACATGTCCTCAAAACGAAAATAACTTGTAATTTCATTGATTATTTCAAAATGAATTACGTTTATTGAATGGAAATTGCAACAATCAAATCCTAGAAATGAAAATGGAAAGCAGCGCCCGAAACGGGGCAAGTCCTAAAAAGCAGTAAAAATTCCCACGCAGGGGAGTGTGCGAAAAAGTAAAAGTTTTACTCTTGTGGGCCTGTGCCCATTCCCTCTAACGGTCCTTCCTCGATAGCTCCAACGAAGAAATCATCAAACAGGGCAGTGATTCCATCCATTGCATCATCAGAATCTTCTGTCATTAGAGGTGTTGGATCATCCATACCTCCCCATCCATCCGGGACAATGTCACAGGGGTTAACATAGAAGCTCGGGGGCGCCGAGTATTTCACATAAAAATCGAACTTGCCGCTCGGTTGCCCCAAAGTGTCGATCGCCTCTTTCTCTTCATGCATCATTCTTGCAGGGCCCGGAAATGTGGTGCGGATATGTGGAAGCAACCTACCATGCCCAAGCTCTCCATTGTTGTGGGTAATTCCATTCGGCTCTTCTTCGGATCGCTGTCTATTATATCCATCTCTTCGACCTCGACCTCGACCGCGTCCACGTTCATGTCCACGTCCCCCATTATTTGGCCCGCTTGACCCCTGGTATCCCAACCTAATAGTGTGGGGCCTTCGAGAGACTTCCACCGGTTGGCGGATACCTTGACCATTCCTACCAAGGCCTTCACCCGGAATAAAGACATGGGACACCATTACTCTTCTAACCATGACTGCAGCATTTGACACCTCAGGAATGGGCGGTGATGATCCTCTTGATGCATGTATGGTTGACACGAGCTCGAGCGACTGATAGCTTGATTCTATTTTGCAATCCGGCTCAACATAGGGGATAGCCGTTGCGTGGTAAATTGGGTGCTCCTCTTCACCGTGGACTGTGACTAACTTTCTCTCCACAACGAACTTCACCTTCTGATGCAGACTGGATGGCACAGCTCCGGCAGTATGAATCCATGGACGACCCAACAGAAAATTGAATGCAGTGGGAATGTCCATAACTTGAAATAGGATGTTGAACATTGTTGGTCCTATCTGTATGTCAAGGTGGATTTCTCCCATCACTTCTTTTTTCGTTCCGTCAAAAGCTCGCACAGAGGTCTTCGCAAAATTTATCCTAGAAGAATCTATCTTGAGGCGGTGTAAAGTCGCCAAAGGACAGATATTCAAGGCTGATCCATTATCAATGAGTACCCGGGCTACATGCGAGGCCTTATATTTGACAGAAATGTAAAGTGCATTGATATGCCCCCTCCCTTCCAGAGGAAACTCTTCATCTGAAAAGGCTATGAGGTCCTTGAGGAGTATAGAACCGACAAATTCCTTCAATTTATCATGATCGATCGTTTCTGGCACGTGGACTTCACTTAACACCTTCATTAGGGCCTTCTGATGCTTGACAGATGTCTGGAGTAGTTCAAGGAGAGATTTGCACGGGCATCTTGCGCAATTGTTCCACTATGTTGTATTTGCTAGCCTTAATCACAGCTAGAAACTCTTTGGCTTCTTCATCAGTAACAGGTTTTGCAGGTTGGGCATTAGCTTGGCTATAGGTACGCCCAGATCTGGTAACCAAGTCGACATCGAGGCTGTAAGACCAAGGGACCGCCTTATTATCACTGTACTCATGTGGTTGAGGTATCTCGATCACTATCCCTTCATCAGCTGTAGGCGTGCTTACTACGATCTCTTCATCATCGAACGCGTCTTCGAGCGGAGGCATGTCTTCAAGCAAAGGGTCGAACTTGTCCTTCCCGGTGTTCAATGTAGCAAACTCTTCTTCCCAATTAATAACCACTTCAGAAATAGTGGAAACAATGCCAGTGTGGTCAGCATAAACAATCATCCCAGCTTCTACCATCCTTGAGATTCTTTCTCTCATGACAGCCAGGGGAAGGGTCTCGTTACTCGGGTAATAACCGGCTTTCACCAACTCGCCATAGACGTCCGTAGTATACACCTTGACGTTCTTAATTCGACCAGCATCGAAGCTAAAAATGGCATTCACATTGCCCGCGTGATCGGGGAGTGGGTTATTCTGAACATTCGGCTTAGCGGGTTGGAATGAGAAAGCCCTCGTGTCCAGGAGGTTCTGGATTCGGTGCTTGAGGACATAGCAATCATCGGTTGAGTGTCCCAGCTCACCCATGTGATAATCACATTTCTTTGACGGGTCGAAGTTATAGAACCGCTCAGGATTGGGCCGCTTTGGCTCAGTAGTAAGCAAGCCTTTCTTCTGAAGTACTGCCAATACTTGAGACAACGATCCGGGGAGGGAGGTGAATTGCCTCTTGTTGTTCCTCCTTTGAAAAGGTTGACGACCCGAGTTTTGTTGCTGAGCTTCCGCTACTTGGATTGCTGGGGCGGAGTTAGTATTCCGCCGGCTCAGTTGGTTATAAGCCACATTCACTTCAGCTGCCGGTTCTTTCTCTTTTCTTGCACCAAATCTTCTGGTCGAGGAGGACGGCTCGACAAACCATCCATCTTTCAGCCCTATCTCAATCTGTTCGCCTATGGGGATGAGTTGGTTGAAGTTGTCAGCCGGAATGGCAACCATCCGATTACGGTATTCGAACGGGAGAGTTTTTGCGAACATCCTCTTCAACTCACTGTCTATGGGTTCTGGGACAACCTGAGCAGCTAAATTCCTCCATCTGATAGCATAGTCTTTGAAGGATTCAGTCTTTTTTATCTGAGCACGTTCGAGATCATCACGGGTAGGAATGATGTCCGTTATGAATCTGTACTGCTTTAAGAATGCTTCACTGGCTTCTTTCCAAGTTTTGAGGCCATTTATCTTCTTCATGAGATACCAGTTCAAAACAGGACCCGTCAAACTTGCTTGAAAGGCATGGATCATCAGGAGTTCGTTGTCAACATACGAAGTCATCTGTACGTGATAGAGCTGCAGGTGGGCTTTTGGGCATGTGGTGCCATTGTACTTGTCAAAATCTGGCATTTTGAACTTCTTTGGGATTTTGATCTGTGAGTACAGGGACAGATCGATCGAAGGTGAATCCTGCGAACCTTCCAGCTGCTTCACTCTTTCTTCAAGCTTGTTGACTCGTTCGTCAGGTTTATCTTTGTTGACGATAATCTGGACGGGGTCATCTTCTAAATCAGGAATATCGTCATCTCCGTCAACATCGACACTTTTTCTAACTTTCTGCTTTGGGACTGATGTTTCGAGGGATGCCGGAACAGGGATCGACCGAAGAGCTTTGATCTTAGCGGACATTTGTTGCATCGCGATGACAAGTTGCTTCATCTGGTCTTCCATACCAACAACACGCTCTTGCAAGTCGGTTTGATCGGCCATTTTGGCTCTCGACCGTGTACGAATGGGCGATCGTGATCGGTCCGTAGTTACCTAATTTCGGAACGAAACAGGCATACATAAGTGTCAAGCAAAATCATACGCCGATCCATGACATTGGTCTAACCGCTTTGAATTAAAAAGACCCCTTTATTGAAATGGTGAAAATTTTTACACCAATTAATTACTTGAAATTGAACTGAATATAAAGACCAATGACTCAATTCCTAAACAAATTTAAAAACTGAAACTGAAATGAGAAAAGAACTTCGAGCTTATTATTTAGCTTGATCTATAGACATATGGGAGGCGACTTCCTTCTTCAATTGCTCATAAGCTCGAGCTATCTTGGCTGCCTTTTCTTCAGCTTCTTCGGCCTTCCTTTTGAGGCGATTGTTCTCTGAGCGATTGGCGGACTTGAGAGGCACCTTGGGTATCTTCGGGAGCAAATCCTGCGGGATTCTGTGCCGTCGAATGTACTGGGTCGTCGCGAAATAGGACTTCTGCTCTCCCTTTAGTTCTCCTTCGGGCCGAGCTATCTTTAACACACGGCACTTCTTCCACATCTTATTGAGCTGAGCTACGGTCCCTTCGTGGTCTTTATCATCATCGGCGAAGTCGACCCGGAGGAGTTCCGGTTGTAACGCCGGAGGGAGTCCCTGGAGAATCTGGTACTGTCGGGACACTCTGGCAGGGTAGTACTCGATTGCGCCAGTGAAGCCCAAAAGTGGCACCGGTCCAACACCATTACACGTAAGTCGAGCTTCCTCGACCTTGAACCAATTAGCATGCCAATGGAAACCTTGGGGTCTAGCGTTTTTCATGAAAATGATCCATTCGGAATAATGATAATCAGATGCATTTCCTTGTTTTTCTTTATAACTTAAAATGGGATGGCTAGAATCACTAAGCTCGGATATTGTGAGTAAATCGCCACACCCTTTTATGTGAGACAAAAACCAAATTTGCAAAAGTTCGAGGGGGGCATGAAACGTTTTGTCAACATGTTGCTTAAATTTAGTGAGGGAAATGAAAGTCTCGGCTAAAATGGTGTTGCCAAAATTCTTTTCAAGACAGACTTGTTGGACCAACCATGCGATTGACGGACTACATGCATTCTTACAGTGAGGAAAAATCACGAACCCGAAAAATGCTAACAAAAAGATTTTGCCCTTTTGAAAAGATGTGGCTTTTTCAAAACACTGACTCAGGAATGAAAAAGGACATGTGCCGCGATTTGCTTTTAAAACTTTTCCCAATTCATCTTTTCCAACATTCAAAAATTCAGCCAACATTAAAGTAGAATCAATTCCCAAAGGTGGTGTGACTAACTCCGACTCCAATGGTTTTCCAATGAGCACGCTATATTCTTCCAATGTCGGGGTGAGCTCGTGCTTACCGAATATAAAGGTAGAGGTCTCCGGACACCAGAAGTGCGCTAATGCTCGAACGAGGCCGGTACGGACTTTGACCTCCAGTAGGGGGAGCAGCCTCCCGATGTGGCCCTCAACTAGCTTGCGGTTGGTCGGACTGAGTAGATTCCACCAGGCACGGAGCTCGTCCTTAGGAGCATCAAGAATCCGGATGTCTGCCCCTCCCATAGTGTATAGACCAAGACTCACGACCGACCTAATGTCATGGACCGACCAAAGAAAATACGGAACATAAATAAATTGCGAAATAAAGGTTCAGAAAACTTACTTTACCCGATAGGACCATGGCAATCACATAGACATGCGCATGAAATGTGAGGTTCGATTTCTATCTAGACTCTGGCTTGCAAAATGGAGACGCGAGGATTACCGGGCTAAACCAGTCATGGTTGTAGTTAGGCCGGGGTTCCCCTTACTCCGGCTTAGTCAAGGAGCCGACCCGGGTTGCAAAGGGTGCAACCGTGGTGGGAACTCAATGACACCGTGAAAGAACTTTGGCGGGACCAAGGAGGGCGACCCGTACCACGCGGGTGTGGTCGGGGTGTCCGCTGTCTCGCACCATCCTAAACCCGTGCCGCCCGGTCCGCGGGGGTAGTGTGTGCGGTGTAGTGTAAATGCAAGGCATGCACAACATGTTATATCAAACAGCGCTTCGTGCATAAAACAAACCATACATCCAAACACCTCCCTGCAAAACAAGGGTTAACAATCACGCCTCCCCTTATACCTCCCATTCTGCAAAAACATTTAACACCTAAAATGTTAGGGACGTACCTGGGATCCTCGCTGCCAAACAAAAATATTTTTTGAAAAGAAAAACTGGCCTAAGTCCACTAAGAGTTTTAACTCAAGTCCCCAGCGGAGTCGCCAAGCTGTCGCGACCTAAAAAAATTCCTCATTTTTCGGGCTAATGGATTATTAAGACTAATCTTAACTCGGGCCCTCCCAAGCCCTACCAATTCGCAACTTAGAGTTTAAGTTTTTAACATGCAAAAGTTTTTATGCTTGGAGTCGCCACTAATCAATTTATGGTAGGTTGATTAGAAACCTAAATAAAACATAGGGAGATATGTTTTATTCCTACGAACCAGAGATTCTAAGCCCGGGGACTTGATTACGCTAGATCTGGTCTAACGCCCTTTCGGTACCTTTTCTTTTCAAAAATGTTTTGGCAGGCAGTTTGGATCCATTTCAACTTAGTTACTAACATGTGAGGTATTCATGCGGATGCGCAAACCACCAATTTAACACTCAGAAAGCATTAAATAAATTGCAAGTTTGGAAGAATTACTTACCTGGAAGCAACGTAAGCATCTGCATTGTTAGCTAGAAAATCACATTGACACCATAATATGATTTCTAATTAACAAGCAATTCACTCAATTTCTTTTTTTGGATTTTCACTTATTTAAATGAAATCTAGCCTATATGCAATGACATGCGAAAATGACATGCGATTAATGCAACCTAGCATGCAAACTATATGTCGTGCGACGACGTGACCTATTTCTAATGACGGACGAATGATTATTTTTGGTATTTTCTCAATTTAAATTCGGAATAATAAAAATGCCTAAATTAACATGCAAACTATGATGACTTAATCTACCCTAGCATGATTTCTTTTTAGGATTTTTGTTAAAATTCGAAATAATGAATAACCTGAATAATCTATTAAGATTAGAATATTACTTAATTTAAACTAGAAAATAGATCATCTCAAGTCCTAATTTAAATTAAATAACTACTCTATCTTCTAGATACATTTAGGATTCCTAGACATGCAAAAACTCTGATTCAAATCTAATTAATATTTTTTGAATTTTCTGTTTATTTGAAAAAGGAAAGCAATTAAATAAACAAGGATAGCAACCACATTCAAAACGTCCACGCGATCCGCCATATTTGTTTCAAACTCGGATTAGGCACAAAAATCAAACTATCGGTCATATCTATAGGGTTATAGATATCGACGGAAAGCCGATTATTCAAATTTGGAAAGCGGATAAAAATCATTATCGTACCCAAGTGGTTATGGATAGGATAATAATTTTCCGTATCGCCGCGTATCGAACCTTAGGGATAAGGTCGGATAGTCGTCCAGATACGTTGCCAAATTAGGAATGATTCCTGATTTTGAATATTTAAAAATATTGCGGATATATCGAACATTATCCTAAGATTTCTAAATATCCACATGATATTCACGAAATATTCAAACACCCATATTAGGAAATTAAATATTCTGAAAATATCGGATAATGTTGAATTACCTAATTTGTAGATAACTTCCAAATTCGAATTGTGGATCGGGATCGGACTCGGATGACGGGCGACGCGGCGTCGGCGCGGCGAGTCGACTTTGGGCTGCGACGGTGTAGGGACGCCGCGGCCACGGAACCAACAGGGAACACCGGGATGAACCGAGAGTGGTTCCGGGCAGTGAGCTCTCGCTCTTTCAGGTTCAGCAGCAACGGGACTTGTCGGTTGGCCCTCGCGGTGGTTCTCGATGATTGATAACCTGCAAAACAGAGGGACAACTCCACGATTTGGTGAAAGATCAGCGACGGTAGTGGCAGATCGTCGCGAGGCGCGGGTTTTGAACAACAGGTCTTCAGTGGTGAAGCTCTCTGTGGTGACGGCTTCTTGGTTCGATGGTGAGGCACCGCACTGTCACGATTCTGGTATCGTATCCAGTGTTGACCGAGAAAGAGAGAAAACTTTGTATTGGATGAAACAAAGAGTCCTCCTTAATGTGTATGTTGGAACGTGGGCCTTTGGACGTCTCTATTTTTCCTTTTTTTTGTGATGTGTTCTGTCTTGAGCAAGTGAAATCCTGCAAGAAGAAAGAAAGCTCCTTCTTTTTGCTCGTTGTCTCCTTTTGTCTCTTCGTGAATTCCTCAACGTGTCCACTGCCACGTATTGCTTAGATGAGCGTCAAGGCGGAGCAGATCGTGGGACTTAACCTGAACAGAAACGGCTTGGCTCGTCGTCAAGAGACCTCGCGGCTCGTCTGAGGTGATAACGATAGGATGCGTCTCAGCGGAGAAGGAGCTAGGACACGTGGCTGGACTGAAAAATCGCCGGAATTGCTGTGGGAGCTCGCCTGGGGGCTGTGAAGGTCGTCGGGACTCCGGGTGATGCGGCTGCGAGGTGCGAGACAGGCACGGCGTGGCGGCACGGGAGCGAGGCAGCACAGTGGCGGGACGGCACGGACTCGGTTGAACCAACCCGTGATCACCTCTCTCTCTCCCTTCTTCTCTCTGAAAATTCTGATCTGAAAAACTGTGTTCGAAATTGTGTGTCCTCCCTAAAATCCTGACCTAATGATGTATATATAACACTAATCTAGGTCAATTAGATGGGCTCTCTAGTCCTAATGGGCTTAGGCTTGGGCTTAGATTTTAATTTAATTTAAATGGGCTGAATTAATTAAGGATAATGGGCTGAATTAAGCTCAAATTAAAACAACCGAGCCCGTTTGACTTGTAATTCCCGGCCCTTGCCTTCCGAGCGAGCCGAGTCTCGTTCGATGAAATTTTAAACTCATTCGCCACTGCCAATCTGATGCAAAAAATACAATTAAATTAAATGGACCTAAACTATATGTTTATGCAATTTAAATATTTTTGTTTAGGGGTTAAAAATTTAATCCCTAATTTTCTATGCAAATTACACTAAATGATACGCCAAAATTTAGGTGTCAACACTCACCTCCAACGGAAGACAAAGTAGGCGAACCTTTGAACGGCGATGGGGGTGGACTGAAGGAAGAAACAACGTTTGGCTATGACTGCTGTCCCAACAGTCGGGAGAATATAATAGCAAAGGCTTCAGATGAAACGCACGCAAAGAAGAGGACTTAACCAGAGCACTAGTTCATAAAACTGAACCTAGCACAGAGAGAGAGACAGAGACGGAGATGAGCGGCAGCGGCTCGGTGGCGGTGGCGGAATCATACCCGATGAACAGTGGAGACGGCACATATAGCTACAACAAGAACTCTCACTTTCAGGTTCTTCATTTGACATTAAGTAGATGCATTTCCAAGAAACCATTTCTTCATGTCATGGAGTAAGAGCTAAATGATAGAGTAAACTGTTCTGTCTTTCGCTAAGCTTTGCCTGAATTCAGCTTTTGAAATTACTCTCCGGTTGTTAATTCTCTTGTGACCCTTTATGGCTTCAATGAGAATAAGTATCAAATTACCAAATATCAGACTTGCAATTCTGACGTGCATCGCATAGAGTGGCAACGAACGTCGCCCGGGCGACAATTGACGAGGCGATCGAGGAGAGGCTCGACGTAAAGCGATTTTCTCCTGCTCTGACCACATTCCGAATCGCGGATTTAGGCTGTTCGGTTGGGCCGAACACCTTCATTGCAGTCCAAAACATCCTAGAAGCGGTCCGACACAAGTACGAATCACAAGGCCTCTCCTCCCAACTGCCTGATTTCCAAGTCCTGTTCAACGACCACGCGGCCAATGATTTCAACACCCTCTTCGCTTCCCTGCCATCCGACCGGCTGTACTACGCGGCCGGCGTGCCAGGATCCCTCCACGGGCGACTGTTCCCCAAGGTAGAGGTGGCCACGGGCCGGTTTTGGCCCGGAATCGGCCCGGTCAAACCCGGGCCCGGCCCGTTGACCGGGCCCGCGGTTCGGAACCGGCCCGTGGCATACGGTCCCGGTTCCGGTTCCAGAAAAATTTGAACCGGCCCGGAATCGCTGGTTCCGGGCCGGTTCTGCGAAAAAAAAATTTTTAAGAAAAAAAAAAAAGCTGCAGGCTACGAGCACGAGCTGCGGTGCGAGGCCATCTTTGCGTGGCCACTGCATGCAGCTGCAGTGCGGAGCCATCTTTGCGGTAGCCCTGCGTGACACTGCGGGAGAACGGGCCAACGGCCCAACCAAAAATAAAAATAAAAAAAAATATTTATCTGCAGCGAGGCCTGCAGACGTGCAAGCCCTGCTGCGCCGCAGCACCTTGCGGCCCGTTGGGGCAACGGCTACGCCCCAACGGGCGTTTTTATAATAAAATATAAAAAAAACACATAACCGTTGCAAAATTGCAACGGTTATGTTTTATTTTTTTTAATTCTAAATTTTCTTCTATTTTTTTCCTATAAATTCTCTCAAATTCTCACAATACACACACAATTCTCTCAAATTCTCTCCAATTCTCTTCTCTCAAGTCTCAAATTCTCTCAATACTCGAAATT